AGGTCATATAGCCCTGGTGTACAAGTTGCCGTACAGCGGTAACTTGTGGTTGCTGTGAGACTGAACACTGTGACACTGATTTGTCAAATGCGTTAATGACTGGTTACCCAATGCGGACAGAGAGTGGGGTGGAGCTCCCCGATTAAAACAAGCTTGGAAGGAGAAGTGGCATCCACTTCCATAATAGCTTGCCTCCGGAAACCCTATGAACCTGGAGAGAGGATGAGAGACACCCACGAGTTGAGGACTCTCCTTCATAGTGTCGCTGAGTCACCTGCAACTCGACGGCACTTAACAACAACAACAATTTTAATGAACATTTACAGAGATTTTGGATTTCCTTTCATTAATTCTTGCACTTTTTTTTCCAGTGGCCCAACCCTACCTTCCAGTTCGCTCTTCTCTTTGAAAAGAAAAAAGAAAAATTCCTTTATTGGTATACAATTCCCCGTACCCTACTCCCCACTCCCTCCCCTGAATACACTGCATTATGCAACCTTCATTCTGGACTCTTGTGATAACCATAATACCCTATCATATATCGCTTTTCATCTGTTCTCTCCTTCATCTGTTTCAATGCAGTATGCATTATTTATCCAGTTTTTCTCAGTCTTACCCCAACCTGATGTCAGTCCCCTTCTACAACAGTGGCACTATGCAGTATTTTTCCTTTTGTGACTAAGATATTTCACTCAGCATAATGTCCTCCAGGGTCACCTATTTTGAATAATATTGCATGATTTCCTTGCTTTCAATGTAGCATAGTTTTCCATTCTGTGAACATACCACAGCTTCTCTATCCATTCATTTGTTGATGGGCACTTAGGTTGTTTCCAACTCCTTGCTATTGTGAACAAAGCCATGATAAACATGGGTGTGCAAATATCTGCTTGGATGGCAGTTATTGTCTCTTTGGGGTATATTCCCAGTAGTAGAATTGCTGGGTCAAATGATATAACTATTTGTAACTTTTTGAGAAAGTGCCACACCACTTTCCACTATGGTTGCACCATTTTACACTCCCACCAACACTGGATAAGAAGAGTTCCAGTTGTTCCACAACCTTGTCAGCATTTGTTGCTTGCTTACTTGTGCATCTTGCTGTAATTTTTTTGTCCCAAACTCCAGAAGGGTGAAATGCTTCCACCAACAGTATCCATAATATAAAACCAATTCCCATGAGATCAGACATGTCTCTCACCCTCCTGCACCTGCTTCTAATTCCAGCGCTAATCTTACTCTTCTCCTATGTCTGAAATCCATAGCAATAGCTCAGAAACAACACAAAAATATAGTCACAACTATGGAGTTTATAAGGGAAATTAACAGGACCACTTTCGAAGTATGCTCACAAGCCTTCTACCCTTGAGGCTTTAGGCTAGTGTTACAAAGCTCTTTTAGTCCTGCCAACTGTGGCATCTCCACCCAAATTCTCCAGAAAACTTGGGCAAAGGCCCTTGGACCCAGTTCCAGATAGTAGAAATACCGGGCCAGGTGTGACCTGTGTTGGATCTCTGGCTCTCTGTGTGTCTGCTGCTGCTCTCCTGTAAATCTGGCTGGTGCCAAAATCTCTGGCACCAATGGGTGGACACATCATTCTCTGCTCCTTCTTTGCTGGAAGCATTATTCTTAACATCTGCTTCTGTATTTGCTGTATTTAGTGGCAAGACCACTACTCAAATCCCCTGTGGATACACCCTATTCACATATCTTCACTCATCTGATATGGCAAAGTTAAAGTCAATGTGCTGTCAAGTCAGAACTGCCTCATAGCTGATATTCCAGTAGGTTTTCAGAAGCATTTAATTGCATAGGGGAGTTGCCCATCCTTCTCTCATGGCTTTTGAACTGCAGTGCAATTTCTTACCATTAGGACACCAGAGATCCCTAAACAAGGGATAAGTAATCCATTTTCAGTAATAAGCCCTTGACACCACAATGATCTTAGAAGACAACAGAAACAGGTGTTTGCTTAAGTTAATGGATATCATAAACACATACACACACACACACACCCAGGCATACTTATGTTGTTCTTTTTGTGTGCTGTCAAGTCATAACTGATTCATAGTGAATCCTCCAGTGGGTTTTCAGAGGCTGTAAATTGCCCATCCTTCTCCCACAATATACACATCTTTATGTCTATATGTCTGTATGTATGTACATATCTACTTACCTCTTGCTGTGATTATGTACTGTTGAGTCAGAAATGATTCATAGTTGACCCTCTGGTGGGTTTTCAGAGGCAGTAAATTGCAAGAGAGCAGATTGTTCATCTTTGTCCTGTGGAAATAGTTCTTGAGATCGTACGAATATTATTAAGGAATTTGACCGTGTGGATCACAACAAATGGTGCCTACTCTTGAGAAGAATGGGAATCCCAGAACACTTGATAGCGCTCATGTAAAGCCTATACTTGAACCAGGAAGCAGTCAACAGGACAGAGCAAGGAAACACTAAATGATTAAAAATCAGGAAAGGAGTGCTTTCTGGCTCAATACAATTCCATCTATATATGGAATAGATCATTTGGGAGGCTGGAATTTCTGAGGAAGAATGTGTCATTAGGATTGGAAGAAGTCTCATCAACAACCCGCGTTATGCAAACCTTGTTTGCTGAAACAGAGCAGGACCTGAATAATTTGCTGCAGATCAAGGACTGTAGTCTTCAATATGGATTGAATCTCAACATCAAGAAGACGAAGATTCTCATCACTCTGCCAATTTGCAACACCATTGTAGATGGAGAAGAAATTGAAGTTGTTAACAATGTAAGCTTTCTTGGCTACACAATCAACATTCTTGATGCCAGCAGTTAGGAAATCAAAAGACAAATTGTAATAGGAAAATCTGCTGTCAAGGACCCCTGTAGAGGGCTGAAGATCAATGATGATGGCTGGAGACTAAAGTGGGCCTGATCCAGAAATAGTCTTTGCAGTTACTTATTATGAATCTGAGAACTGGATCAGGTCTAATGATGAGAGAAGAAGAATCATTGCTTTTGAGAGTTGTGGTGCTATAGAACAGTATTGAACATGGACTGGCAAAAGAACAAACAAGTCCATTCTGGAGAGGGTGAAGACAAGTTGCCCCTTGGAGGCTAGAATTTTGAACATTTGTCTCACATACTTTGAGCACGTTGCCAGATGGACAGGTCCTTGGAGAAGGACATCATACTTGGAAGGATGGAGGGACAATGCAAGAGAGGAAGACCCTAGATCAGATGGATTGATACAGAGGTAATGGCTGTAGGAATGTTGGGGACAGTGAGATTGGCTCAGGAAAGAACAGGATTCAGAGCTATTGTACATACGGCCACTGAGTCACATGTGACTAGATGGCAATTAACAGCAACAATTGTACTAGGCATTGTGCTAGATGTTAAGAATAAAAGATGAGTAAGAAAAAAGTTATTTCCCCTAACGCAGTCCCACAAGGATAAATATTGTACAAAACCATTATTGTATAATGAATATAAGAATTGAAGAGGTATTGGAGGGGTTGGATGTGCAGGAGGAGGGGGATTAATCATGATGTTGCACAATTTGTTGAGTGGGAGTTTAGGGAAATTGAAAGAATTTATTCTTGAAAATAATGTATTCAAATTTTGTAAATAAACTAGTAGAAAATTTTAAAAAAGTTATTTCCCTAAAGAAGCGTATAAACTCAAATAGCTTTTCTTTTCACTGCAATGAAAATAATTTTACAACTTCCAAGCAGAAGACTATGAGAATATCTTTATTTTGAAACAGACTATTTACCCAACACGTCTTGGTGCAACTTATTTAATGCTGCATAATATGCCAGGTATATTTAGGGAATAAATATGAATCTCTTCCAGCCAGTTCAGAATTGCATCTGTTAGCTGAAACATGCCAGGTGATATCCCACTGATTTCTGGGGCTTAAGTTTTGCTAATGCCATTAATGCAGTTTGAACATCTTCCTTTTTTACCATTGGGTCTTTATCCTATGGTACTTTCCGAAATATTTCACTGTTGACAATTTTTTTTTTTGGTATGGTACTCTCTATATTTCTTCCATCTTCTTTTGATGCTAGCTGGATAACTCAAGATTTTTATTTTTCAGTTTTTTTCTACTTGAGAAATGTCAAGCAAGTTCTTCCCTTTTTATTCTCTAACTCCAGATCTTTGCACATTTCCATTATAATACTTTGCCTTTTTATGAACAGTTTTGTAAAGACTGTTCATTGACAGAGAACTGCAGGAGTTCAAGCTGAGTTTAAAAAATGCTGTCACACTAGGAATAACATTGCTGATACAAGATGGATTCTAGATGAAAGCAGAGAATACCAGAAGAATGTCTATCTGTGTTTATTGGCTTTCCAAAGACATTTAATTGAGTAAATGATAAAAAGCCATGACTATTGGTGAAAGAGTGGGAATTCTAGAACACTTATCTATGCTTCTGTGAAATCTATACCTAGACCAAGAAAGAAGCTGTTGCTAGACCAAAGCAAAAAAAAAAACAAACCACTTTAGTTGCTGTTAAGTGCCATCAAATTGAGTATGACCAATAGTGACCCTATTAACAACCAACCGATTTGAACATTGTCTTATCTTGTGCTATACTCACAATCTCTGTCACACTCACAACATTGCCATAGTTATCATGTAAATCCACCTGGTTAAAGGTCTTCCTCTCCTTCACCATCCCTCTTCCATCCCAAACATCATGTCCCTCTCCAAGAAATATCTCTAGTGCCTCTTCTAAACCCAGCTTGTATTTCAGGCACCTCTCAGTCAATGTACTGTTACAGTTGTTTTTGGATAATCTTCAGCAAGATTTTGCTTATGTGTAATATTAGTAACATTGCCCAATTGTCGCTGCCAGTCCACTGGCAACCTGATTGGGAGTAAGCACAATGGAGAAGCCACTCCGGAGAGAATCAGAGAGTCAATCCATCTCAACTTTATTAGGATAAGCACTGCACTTATATACACGGGAAGACAAGATAGGGTGGGCTTACAGACGTGGGGCATGTGGACTGGTCAGGAGAACCTCAGCCTCCTGCGGATCACTCTTGGCTCAACAGACGCGGCAGCCATCTTCCCAAGTGGTGAGCTTTCTCCAACCAGTACAGCCAAACACAGGGGAGCTTTATCTACTCCGTATTAAAGGGAGTTGGTAGGCTTGTATCTGTCTGGAGCTCAGGCGACCAGTCCTAGCCAGAGGCCTTCCCTTCCTCCCCAACATTCTGCAACACTCAATAATATTCACACTCTGTTGGATCACTTTTTTTTTTGAATGGGGATAAATATAGATCTCTTTTACTTTGTTGGCCAGGCAACTGTACTCCAGATTTCTTGACACAACCTGGTGAGCACATCAGGGCAGCATCTGTTTGTTGAAATATGTCAGTTGGTATTCCATCAATTCCTAGGGCCTTATTTTTTGTCAATTCCTTAAGAGCAGGTTTAATTTCTGCCATTATCACCATTGCTTCTTGATCATGCTGCAAGGAACCTCTCTCTCCAAAAGTGCTAAGGAGCAGCCATGTTAGTCTAGAGACAAAGGTGCTCCTGATCAAAGCAAGCAAAGGTCTTCTCAATTACTTACTATGCATCTGAGAGCTGGACAATGTCTAAAGATGACAGAAGAATCTTTGTCTTTGAGTTGTAGTGGTGGAGAAGAGTATTACACATATGATAGACTGTAAATAGAACAAGTTTGTTTTGAAGAGGGTGAAACTAGGTTGCTCCTAAAGATAGGAGTGTGAAGATTTGTCTCATATGCTTTGGGAATATTGCCAGGAGAGACTAGTTTCTCACTTTGAGTTTCAGCCTAGTTGATGGCACATATTAACATCAACAACAATGACAACACGGAATAACCTCTTCTGGTAACATGTTCAAAGTATATGAGAGGAAGCTTCATCATATTTGCTTATAAGAAGCATACTGGTTGTACCTTCTCCAAGACTTATCTGTACTTTTGGCAGTCCATGAGATATTCAGCACTCTTCTCCAACATCACAGTTCAAAGGGATTAATTCTTCTTCTGTATTATTTATTGTACAGCTCTTAGGTGCATAACAACTGACTGAAAAGACCATGACCTGCCTCAACAGGCAGCATCATGATAGATGGAGAAAAGATTGAAGTTGTCAATGATTTAACCTTATTTTAATCCACATTCAATATCTTTGATTATTCAGTAGATCAGGAAATGTGTTGCATTGGGAAAGTCTGTTGTCAAGGACTCTAAAGTCCTTAAGAGTAATGATGTCATGGTGTTAGTTTAAAGACTAAGGTGTACCTGATTCAAGTAATGATTTTTCCAATCTTCTGCTTTGTATTTCAGAACTGAATAATGCATAAAAATGACAAGAAGAATCAATGCCTTTGAGTTGTGATGTTGGAAAGAGTCCTGAATAACTCATTGCCTTCCAAAAGAACAGGTATGTCTTGAAGAAGGTGCAGCCAGAGTGCTCCTTAGAGACAAGGATGGAGAATTTGATCTCTTATAAACTGTGGGCATGTCATTAGAAGGAGGTGAAGGATTAGTGGAAAAGAGGAAGACCCTCAGGGAGATGGATTGATACAATGACTACTGCAATTGATTCACATGTGTCATGGATAACAAGGATGGAATAGGATAGGTCAGAAGGGTCATCTGTTGATGATGGGTTCGCTATGAGTTGTACTCAACTCAATGATACGTAAGAACAACAACAAAAATAGTCTTGGATCAGGGATGCTTCACTCTTTAAACTTGTATCTTATGTTTTTTAACACTTTAAAGAGGTCCTGGACAGTATAGTTTCTCAATGCTATGTCTTTTTATTTCTGATTACAATTTCATGAGTGTTGATTGGGGATCCAAATACAAGATATCATTGAAAACTTCAGTATTTTCTCCATCTATCATTGTTTTCTATTGGTTCATTGGCTAGGATTTTTGTTTTCTTGTTGAGATATAATCCATATTATGGGTGTAGTCTTTGATCTCCTTCAGTAAGTGTTTCAAGTCTTCTTCACATTCTACAAGCAAGGTCATGTCATCTGCAAAACACAGGTTGTTGATTATTTTTCCTTCAGTCCTGATGCTACATTCTTCTTTAGAGACTCTAGATTCTCTAATAATTTTCTCAGTACACACACTCAATAGGTAAGGAGAAAGGATACAATCCCAACACATACCTTGCCTAATTATAAACTATGCAATGTTCCCTTATTCTGTTTAGAAAATAGTTTCTTGGCCTTGTATAGATTTTTTTAAACCCAAAATTAAGTGCTCTCAGATTCCCATTCTTCTCAATGTTACCCATAATTTGTTATGGCCAATAAAGTAAAATTCCTTTACTTACTTAGTACATAGAATATAACAATATCTTTCTGTCATCCTGTCTTTTTTGCTAAGATTCATTTGATATCAGAAATTATATACCTTGTGCCTCTTCTGAATACATCTTGAATTTATGGCACTACTCTGTGGATGCAATAATAGAGCGTTTTTCAATTATCTTCAGCCAGATTTTACTAACATGTGATATTAATGATTGTTCAATAATTCCTGTACTATTGTAGGAATGATAACACATACGGATTTCTTCCAGTCAATTGTTCAGAAACAGTTGTTTTGTCAATTTCTTGGCATAATCTAGTAAACAAGTCTAGGTTTGGATCTGCTTGTAAAAACACCTCAATTGATGTTCCATTAATTCTTAGGTTCTTATTTCTGGCCAGTGCTGTAAATGTGGTTCTGAATCTTAAAGTATTTCCTGAAATGGCTTAGTGTTGAACAATTCTTCCTGGAAGAGTGACTCTGTGCATTCTTTCCTTCTTCTCTTGAAACTTCCTGTATCTTTCTAGATTTGTCCATACAATCCTATAGTATTGTACCTTGAGCCTTGAAATTGTTCTCCAGATCTCTCAGTCTGATAAATGCTGGGCATATTCTTCCAATAGGTTTTCTATATTCAGCTGTTTTCACTCTTTATACTTTGCTTATCTTCTTGAGTTTCCCTGTGAATCAAAGGAGTCCTTACAACATTAAACAGTAACAACATATTATGGGCACAGTAGATCAATTGTGTGTGAAGATTTTGTGCTTCTCTGCAAGAAAACATCTAACTCTTTAGTTGTATGATGGTAAACTACTGAATGCTGAAGTTCACCTGCTCTGGCAGTGGAGTGTGTTGATTGTCTTCTTGGAAGAGGTGGGTCTTTGCCACCTTTAGTTTGGGGGTCACCTTTGAACACAAGAATAATTGTTCACTCCTGGTTTAGGCTTTTCAAACAGAAGACTTATTGAAATAGCCCATACTCACAGAGGAGAAAGGAATTTTAGTTTAGAGTTAGTTCTGAGAGAAGACAAATGCCATTCTTCATTATGGCGTTACTCTTTGGCTTTTTCTTTTAAAGAATAAAGATCATTTAGTAATTATCTTGGCTGTTTGGAAAGTAGCCAGGAGATTAGGAAAGAGAGAGAATCACTCTTAAGAGAAGGGGTATTCCATCTGGGGAGGGAGTTGTTGTTGTTATGTGCCATCAAGTCGCTTGCAACTCTTAGCGACCCTATATACAACGGCTTTAAACTCTGTTCTGTCCTGTGCCAATCTCATTGTCTCCAACACACTCATCCCAATTGCCCCAGTCACCAAATCAGTCCACCTCCCAGAGGGCCTTCCCCTCCTGTGCCTGCCCTTCACCCTCCCAAGCATGATGTCCTTCTCCAAGGACTGGTCCCTCCTTACAACATGACCAAAGTATGTCAGAGGAAGCCTCAGAATGCTTGCTTCCAAGGAGCAGCCCAGTTTAACCCTCTCAAGGATGAATCTGTTTGTTTTCTTAGCAGTCCATAGTACCCTCAATACTCTTCTCCAACACCAAAGCTCAAAGGCATCAATTCTTCTTCTATCCTCCCTAGTCATTGTCCAACACTCTGATGCATAACAAGTG